TTTTTTTTCATATTTTTCAGTTTTGATTTATGGTTTATACATTTGTAAATTAGTAGTTTAAAATATTTGGAACCCTCCATCAATAAACTTATTTAAGATAAATATTAATATTTTTTATATACATAATCATACCAAATCTCTTCGTAATAATAGACCCTTCACAGAACAAATAATGCATGTATTAGTCCCCAATTTTGCTATGAAGCCAACAGTTGACTTCATAGTGGAGTCAACCTTCTATATACAACAAGTAAATCATACCATATTAATAAAATTATATTAGTGTTATTTGAGTAATCAAATAATATGGTATATTTACTTATTGTATATAGAAGGTTGACTTCACTATGGAGCCAACTGTTGGTTTCATAGCAAAACCGGTTCCGTAAGCCCTATATATAAAGGTTTTATATAATTGGAGATTTGAATGTGACATCACACGTAAAATTAGGGGTGCAATTTTTGGAATCATTTTCTGGGGGAATGTTGATGTGAGGATGGCGATAATTAATTAATTAATTATTGTAAAGCACTTATTAAAAGGGGCTTCAATGCACAACACACTATTAAATAACCTAATTTTTCCATCACAAATTTGTGAACATGCAACATAACTAGTGATCGGGTGGATCCATTATACTATATAATTGAAAATAAATATTTATATAGTATTCATTGATCTTACTTATATTTATGCTATTTTTTAAAATATTTTTAATAATTACATACATAATTGTGAGGGGAAAAAAAAAAAACATGACGTCGTAGAGCAGCAGTAAACAAGTCGAGCCGACTTCGAACCCATATCGAGTTGAGCCGAACTTGACTCATTGAGGTACACTACAAGAATAAGATGAAATTCTAATGGAAAATTTCAACGAAAATGTATTCCAATGAATTTCAACGAAATACCAATGGATATTCAAATGCTATTATTTCTGTTGGAATTTTAGCAATGGATTCCAACAGAAATTCCAACAAAAATATTCTGTGGGATTTATTTTTTTCATTGAAATTTTCGTTGTATTTTGACGATTCCAACGGTACATTTTCCAACAGTTGAAATATGGGTGAGAAATAAAAATTTCAACAGAAATTCATACGTACGGTAAAAAAATGTTGGAATAATGGTCGTTGAAAAACTCATTACAACAGAATAATTCCGTTGAATTTTTTGTTGGAATCATTTAAACAAAACTACATCATTGGAATATCCATTAGAATTTCATTTAAATTATGTTATCGTATAATTTTCCGTTGAAATTGAATATTTTTTTCTTCTAGTGATAATTAAACGATAAATGAGCTCAAGCTTAACGAATCAACTCAACAAGTTGAATTACGTTACAAATTTAAAAAGCTACATAAAAGTCTTAATTTATAAAGGCTAACGAGTACCACTCGCCAAATAAACGAGCCTTAAATTCAAGGCCTAGGGACCAATAGAAGATAAAATGTGAGTTCAATTTTGGAATGGACACGTCATTGCTGATCTAAGCCGCCTTCTTTGGTTGAGATATGGACATTTATTCATATTCAATAAAGAATCTTTCCTTTTATAGTCAATTGCCGTTTTGCTGTAAAGCCAACAATTAACTTTATAGTAAAATCAATCTTTTATATACATCATCAAACAATGGCATAGCCATGTAGTAGCCCCGGGCTTTAACCGGAGTAGAATTATTTGGGAACATATATACATATAATATAATTAAAGTGAAATTGAAAAATCTTATAATGTTAGTCTAATTAATTAAAGTATATGGTATAATTACATCAAATAAAATTATTTAACAATTTTACATTTGGATAACGATCTCATAGATATCATTTTTCAGATGTTTTATCTTGACAAAATTAAATATCTCATTGAAATTTGAGAAATAATTGTTCAACAAGTTAAATTAGTCTCCAGTAATTTTTTTCTTCTCTTTTTATCTCTTATTTTCTTGTTGTCATAATGTAGTGTCATTGACATTTTTAAGTCCAGTTCCCTAAATTTAAACTAAAAAATAGATTCTAGTTGAAAAATGTATTTGACAAATATATTTATTGCAAAATCACTTAAAAAAAAATATTTTTTATCATAATTTTTATTTCGTATCTGCTATAATTTTATCTGGGGTAAGTTTTATATCAGGCTCCCTGATAGCAAGTTTACCATATTCGCTGATTACTTAAACAACAATAATAATTTTATCGATATATTATGGTTTAATTGTTGTATATATAAGGTTGATTTCACTATGAAGCCAAGTGTTGGCTTCACAAAACCGAGTCAACAAAACACAAAAGAGAAAAAATAAACGATCTTTTAGTTAAATTAATGTTGATGAGCTTAATTCAACTTTAAACTATTAATTGCTAGTATTTTTTTTTTTTTTTTTTTGACAAACTCTCTTATCTATTGACGGTTTAGCTAATGAAATTAGTGGATTTATTGAAGTGGATAGGATATATTCGTTTCATATTTATCCATTTCACATATACGCTGAGGATCACTATCTGCTTCTCAAAATTTCACAAAATAAAGTATTAAGTAAGACCTGTAATATTAATTGTAAGCATCAAACTATAGAAAATTAATTAAACTAGGACACATAAATCGAAATAATAAATTTATTTATGAAGACCAAAGAATTTTAGTTATAGTGGATTTCAATAATTTCGTTGAGGACATGAGGTTAGGGGTGTTCACGGTCCAGATTTGTCCGATTTTAGTTCAAACCATGACCAAACCGGACTTAACGGTTAATTATTTTCCTTGTCCAGAATTGGACCGGTTTTATTTGTTCATCGGCCACAATCCGGATCGCATTAGACCGTCCGATTTGGCGGTTAACAGATTAAATCCAAAAAATCTTTGTTTTGAGCTTTCAATTTTTATTTTTTTTCATTTTGGCTTATTTTTTATTTTTCAATTTTGGGTCCAAAAGAGATTATTTTGGCCTAAAAATTAAGAGAAACAACAATAATGAAATAAAAAATACACAATTCGTCTCATAAGCATAAAAATATACATTTCGTCCCAAAAAATTAGGAAGAGAAGGTGAGAAAATCTGAAAATAAAAAAAAGGAGGTGGGAAAAAGTGAAAAGTTATAGTGTCTTACAAATTAAGTCAACAAAAGCCAACAAATAAAAATGAATGTATTGTATTTGTCGGCCATAGTGAATGACTGAATGTATATATATATATTTGGTTATAGTATTTTAATATTTACCGGTCCGGTCCGGTTAAACCGGCGGTTTGCCGCAGATAATCCGTAAACCGGACCGGTTATTCCAATTTTATTAAAAAATTAACCACTGAATTTTTTAAGGCTTTTTTTAACTGACAATTTAATCGATCTGCGGTCTGGATTGACGGGTTTTTTTTT